TATTTCTGTTTTTTGTCAGTACATACTGTCTTGATTACTGTAGCTTTGTGTAATAGTTTGAAGTTGGGGAGCCTGATTTCTCGAGTTCCGTTTTTCTTTCCCAAATTTGCTTTGGCTATTTGGGGTCTTTTGTGTCTCCATACAAATTGTAAAACTTTTTGTTCTAATTCTGTGAAGAATGCCATGGGTAATTTGATAGGGATTGCACTGAATCTGTAGATTGCTTTGGGTAGTATAGTCATTTTCAAAATATTGATTCCTCCAGTCCAAGAACATGGTATATTTTTCCATCTGTTTGTGTCATCTTTGACTTCTTTCATTGGTATTTTATAATTTTCTTTTTTTTAATTGGAGCATAGTTGCTTTACAATACTGTGTTAGTTTATAATGTACAGCAAAGAGAATCAGCTAAACATATACATATATCCCCTCCTTTTTGGTTTTCCTTCTCATTTAGGTCACCACAGAGCACTGAGTAGGGTTCCCTGTGCTATACAGTGTATAGTTTTCTGAGTACGGGGTTTTTTGCCTCCTTAGGTAGGTTTATTTCTAGGTATTTTATTCTTTTTGTTGCAATGGTAAATGGGATTGTTTCCTTAATTTCTCTTTCTGATCTTTCATTGTTAGTGTATAGGAATGCAAGAGATTTCTGTGCATTAATTTTGTATCCTGCAACTTTACCAAACTCATTGATTAGCTCTAGTAGTTTTCTGGTGGCATCTTTAGGATTTTCTATGTATAGTGTCATGTCATCTACAAACAGTGAGTTTTACTTCTTTTCCAATTTGGATTCCTTTTATTTCTTTTTCTTCTCTGATTGCCATGGCTAGGACTTCCAAAACTATGTTGAGTAATAGTGGAGGGTAGACACCCTTGTCTTATTCCTGATCTTAGAGGAAATGCTTTCAGGTTTTCACCATTGAGAATGTTTGCTGTGGGTTTGTCATATATGGCCTTTATCATGTTGAGGTAGGTTTCCTCTATGCTGACTATCTGGAGAGTTTTTATCATAAATGGGTGTTGAATTTTGTTAAAAACTTTTTCTGCATCTATTGAGATGATCATATGGGTTTTATTCTTCAATTTGTTAATATGCTGTATCATATTAATTGATTTGTGTGTATTGAAGAATCCTTGCATCCCTGGGATAAATCCCACTTGATCATGATGTATGATCCTTTTAATGTGTTGTTGGATTCTGTTTGCTAGTATTTTGTTGATTATTTTTGCGTCTATGTTCATCAGTGTTATTGGTCTGTAATTTTCTTTTTCTGTGATATCTTTCTATGGTTTTGGTATCAGGTTGATGGTGGCCTCGTAAAATGAAAGTGGGAGTGTTCCTCCCTCTGCAATTTTTTGGGAAGAGTTTCAGAAGGATAGGTGTTAGCTCTTCTCTAAATGTTTGATAGAATTCTCCTGTAAAGCCATCTGGTCCTAGACTTTTGTTTGTTGGAAGATTTTTAATCACAGTTTCAATTTCATTACTTGTGATTTGTCCGTTTATATTTTCTAATTCTTCCTGATTCAGTCTTGGAAAGTTGTACTTTTCTAAGAATTTGTCAATTTCTTCCAGGTTGTCCATTTTATTGCCACGGAGTTGCCTGTAGTAGTTTCTTATGATCCTTTCTATTTCTGCATTGTCAGTTGTAATTTCTCCTTTTTCATTTCTAATTTTATTGATTTGCGTCCTCTCCTGTTTTTTCTTGATGAGTCTGGCCTAAGGTTTACCAATTTTGTTTATCTTCTCAAAGAACCAGCTTTTAGTTTTATTGATCTTTGCTATTTTTTTCCTCCATTTCTATTTCATTTATTTCTGCTCTGATCTTTATGATTTGTTTCCTTTTACTGACTTTGGGGTTTTTTGTTTTTGTTCTTTTTCTAGGTGCTTTAGGTGTAAGATTAGATTGTTTTGAGATTTTTCTTGTTTCTTGAGGTGAGATTGAATTGCTATAAACTTCCCTCTTAGAACTGCTTTTGCTGCATGCCACAGGTCTTGGGTGGTCGTGTTTTCACTGTCATTTGTTTCTAGGTATTTTTTTATTTCCTCTTTGATTTCTTCAGTGATCTCTTGGTTATTTAGCAGCACATTGTCTAGCCTCCATGTGTTTGTGGGGGTTTTTACAGTTTTTTTTCCGGTAATTGATTTCTAATCTCATAGCGTTGTGGTCAGAAAAGATACTTGATACGATTTCAATTTTCTTAAATTTTCCGAGGATTGATTTGTGACCCAAGATGTGATCTATCCTGGAGAATGTGCTGTGTGCACTTGAGGAGAAAGTGTGTTCTGCCACTTTTGGGTGGAATGTCTTATAAATATCAATTAAATCTATCTGGTCTATTGTGTCATTTCAAGCTTGTGTTTCCTTACTAGTTTTCTGTCTGGATGATCTGTCTGTTGGTGTAAGTGGGATGTTAAGGTCCCCCACTATTATTGTGTTACTGTCGATTTCCCCTTTTATAGCTGTTAGCACTTTCCTTATGTATTGAGGTGCTCCTATTTTGGGTGCATAAATATTTATAATTGTTATATCTTCTTTTGGATTGATCCCTTGATCATTAGGTAGTGTCCTTCCTTATCTCTTGTAACAGGCTTTATTTTAAAGTCTATTTTATCTGATATGAGTATTGCTACTCCAGCTTTCTTGTGATTCCCGTTTGCATAGAATATCTTTTTCCATCCCCTGACTTTCAGTCTGTATGTGTCCCTAGGTCTGGTCTCTTGTACACAGCATATATATGGGTCTTATTTTTGTATGCATTCAGCCAGTCTGTGTCTTTTGGTTGGAGCATTTAAGTTATTTACATTTGAGGTAATTATCGATATATGTTCCTATTACCATTTTCGTAATTGTCTTGGGTTTGTTTTTGTAGGTCTTTTTCTTCTCTTGTATTTCCTGCCTAGAGAAGTTCCTTTAGCATTTGTTGTAAAGTTGGTTTGGTGGTGCTGAATTCTCTTAGCTTTTGCCTATCTGTAAAGCTTTTGATTTCTCTATCAAACCTGAATGAGATCCTTGCTGGGAAGACTAATCTTGGTTGTAGGTTTTTCCCTTTCATCACTTTAAATATGCCCTGCCCCTCCCTCTTGGCTTGCAGAGTTTCTACTGAAAAATCAGCTGATAACCTTATGGGGATTCCCTTATATGTTATTTTTTGCTTTTCCCTTGCTGCTTTTAAAATATTTTTTCTTTGAATTTAATTTTTGTTAGTTTGGTTAATATGTGTCTTGGTGTGTTTCTCCTAGGGTTTATCCTGTATGAGACTCTCTGTGCTTCCTGGACTTGGGTGGCTATTTCCTTTCCCAATTTAGGGAAGTTTTCAACTATAATCTCTTTGAATATTTCCTCAGACTCTTTCTATTTCTCTTCTTCTTCTGGGACCCCTGTTATTTGAATGTTGGTGAGTTTAGTGTTGTCCCAGAGGTCTCTGAGACTGTTTTCCATTCTTTTCATTCTTTTTTCTTTACTCTGCTCCTTGGCAGTTACTTCCACCATTCTATCTTCCAGCTCACTTATTTGTTCTTCTGCCTGTTATAATCCTGTTGATTCCTTCTAGTGTGTTTTTCATTTGTTATTGTGTTGTTCATCTCTGTTTGTTTGTTCTTTAGTTCTTCTAGGTCTTTGTTAAACATTTCTTGTATTTTCTCAGTCTGTGCCTCCATTCTATTTCTGAGATTTTGGATCATCTTTCCTATCATTACTCTGAACTCTTTTTCAGGTAGTTTGCCTATTTCCTCTTCATTTATTTGGTCTTGTAGGTTTTTAACCTTGCTCCTTCATCTGTAGTATATTTTTTTGTCATCTCATTTTTTTTGATGGGTGAGACTGTGTTCCTGTCTTACTGGTTGTTTGGAATGAGGCTTCCAGCACTGGAGTTTGCAGGCAGTTGGGTAAAGCTGGGTCTTGGTGCACAGATGAGGAACTCTGGGAGATCTGACTCCAAGGAATATTCCCTGGGGTCTGAGGTTGTCTGTTAGTTCAGAGGTTCAGACTCAGTGCTCCCACCACAGGAGCTCAGGCCTGACCCCTGACCTGTGAATCAAGATCCCACAAGCCACGCAGCAAAAAAAAAAAAAAAAAAAAAAACCAACATGGCGCATAACAATAACAAAGAATAAGAAATAAAATTAGAAAAGTAATAGATATATTAGAAACAATAAAGGTATAAATGAAACAACAACTGGAAGAGAAAACAGAACCAAAATAGCAAAAAAAAAAAAAAAGGCCAGAAAAGGCCTTGGCTTAGGCAGGGTGTGGGGCTTAGGCAAGGGTGGGGTTTAGGCAGGGGGCTGGGGCCTATGCTCAGGTCCCACGGGGCCAGAAAAGGCCCAAGTGGGGGGCGGGGCTTAGGCTCAGCGCAGCTGGATGGGGCCCTGGAGTGCTGCCGGCCTCAGAGTGCAGAGTATCAGGGCCAGGACCTCAGCAGGCTCGCCAGGGCCCAAGTGGGTGCGGGAAATGATAGCTACATTCCCCCCCAATCCTCATACCCCCAAGGGTCCGTCCCCATTCACCTCTACTCTTCCTCCCCCATCCTCCAATGCCCCCACACAGCCAGAGGGGGCCCTGGAGGGTAGAAGACAAGGCCCATGACCCCAGCAGGTTCCCTGGGGCCCAAGTGGGCAGGGGAAATGCTAGCTGTGCTCCCCTCCGATCCTCTGAATCCCCGAGGGTCTCTCCGCATCCCTGTTGATCCCCTCACAGTGAGTGGGCCTCTTGAGGCGTGGGAACCCCTCCCCTACCGCCACCCCTCAGGGGTGCCAGTCCCATTCCACCTCCACCTCTCCTCCCCCCTCGCTCCCCCGCTCATGTTCTGCCTTATCTTTTGGGGGTTCCTCCCATACCCTTGGGTGTCGAGGTCCCCCACCAGCATCTGGTAGGTGCCCTAGTTGTGAGGAGACACGGACTCTGCGTCCTCCTACTCCACCATCTTGACTCTGTCTTCCCATGTTATGTTCTGATATAAATTTTAGACCTAAAAATAAGTCTTCACCAGAGCAAATGAAATGCCACTTATGGTGAAATATTATACTTTATTGTTTTTCTGAATTATCAATAAGGTTACAGACACCTAGAAAGGAGTAAGCACACCTCTCATAAAGATCTCAATTTCCTTATGAAATAAAATGACATAATGAAAACTTAAGGGAGGAGAAAATAATAATATAACCACTCAATTCCATATATATCTTTACTACTTACAAGGACCTTTCATAAATTTTTGATCCTCACAATCACCTGGTGAGGTAGGCAGGTTTCAGTTTTTCATTCTAATGAGGTATTTTCTCCATAAACACTGAAGAATGCCAAGAAAAGTTTGCTCTTGAACCCTAGTTTCCATGTATTTTAAGAATAAATAAGTTCTTTAAAAGTAGGTTTTCTGACTAACTTTAGTTTCAGAAATTACATTAAACATTTCTTATTTTCATAGTCCATCCTTTACAAAGAAGACAAGAAATTTCTGAAGTCCACCTTTGGATTCTTTTCGGATTCACTCTGACTAAGCAACATTTTTAGTTGAGAGAAGTGTTTCTTTGTTTTGCTCACATTCTTTGAGGAGCAAATGGGTGTTGACTGTCCAGATTTAGCTCTTCTGAAAAGAAACATAAAGCCACACTTAGGTATACTGACAAACAACAGTTCTTCCTTCTTAGCCTAGATACCTGCTACTAGAATCGTTTTCTACTCTTCCATAATTATGGCCATATATGAGCAGTGGCTGCACCCAGCAAAGTCATTCCAATTTTATTTAAAAATCTCCTCACTAAACAGGCTACAGGCAACATTTAGGAGGTATAATGAGGGTTCTGGAAGCTTCTTTCACCACCTGAAAGAGAAAGCTAAAGGCAAAGTGTCATCAGGTCTGAGTTCCTTGTAAGTCTGACACCAAGGTTCATGACAGTTCTAAGCAAGGACTTTAAAAACATATTTTTTCTTCACAGCTCAAGACCATTTCTTTCTCAAAAGTGAAGAATATCAACCTACACATATAGGTACCATTCCATTGTATTTTCGCCCCTACAATATAAGCTCCATGGGGCAGACACTTTGTACAACTAACTGTATATTCCAGTGCTTTTTAACAGTGCCAAGCACAGAGGACGCCCTCTAAAAATATCCACTGAATAGATGATTCCCCATCTGGTATGTGTGTATTTATGCCTCGTTCTATTTCCTTCCTTCTAATTGTGTTCATCCCCCCAAACAATATTTGGGGTTTGTCAGTCTCATCCCTTTTCTGACCCCCCATCCATGATAAATGTGAAATAGCTTTCTCTTTCCTGCATATATCTAAGAAGGAGTCTGGTCTAAATGCAATTGAATGATTTTAAATATGCAAAATGTTCTTTTATCTGCACATGTCCAATAAAGTAGAAACTTCCATGATGAATTCCTATTGTACCAAACATCAAAATAACTAGGAATATAGAGAAAACTGGACTTGAAATTTTAAATGTCAAACCCAATATAAAAAAACCTCAATTCAGTAAAAACAAATAATCCAGTTCCTGCTGAATTTTGTTATTGATTTTCAAGAAACTACCAGACTCTTTTGTAACAAAATGTTTAAAAATTCCTTTCACAGTTTCTATGGAGCTAAATTTATTGATTAGCATAGTGAAGAGTATATTGAGGATTATTAAAAATAAAACATGTGCCCAGTCACACAGTTAACTTAGTATCATTTCACAAATCCCTATTCAGTTAGATTGCCACAGGAATTTCTGATACAGGAACAGCAAGAACAAAGGTTTAGAGCAGGAAAGTAAACTGAGTGCTTTGGTTTTGCTGACACATAAGATGAATTAAGGCAAGTAAGAGAGGCAGACAGATTGGTGCCAGGTAGTGGGGGCTGGAAATCCATGCTGGAGTATTTGTTCCGTATGCTACAGAGTGAGGTGCTAAAGCTTCTAATCAGAACTGTGCTTTTGGACTTCCTGGTGGCACGGTGGTTAAGAATCCGCCTGTCGGGGCTTCCCTGGTGGCGCAATGGTTGAGAGTCCGCCTGCCGATGCAGGGGACACGAGTTCGTGCCCTGGTCTAGGAAGATCCCACATGCCGTGGAGCAACTAAGCCCGTGTGCCACAACTACGGAGCCTGCGCTCTAGAGCCCACGTGCCACAACTATTGAGCCCACATGCCACAACTACTGAGCCTGCACTCTACAGCCCATGAGCCACAACTACTGAGCCCATGTGCCACAACTACTGAAGGCCTCATGCCCAGCACCCGTGCTCCGCAACAAGAGAAGCAACCCCGTGAGCCTAGAGCCCATGCTCCAGAACAAGAGAAGCCACTGCAAGGAGAAGCCCACACACCACAACGAAGAGTAGCCCCTGCTCGCCACAACTAGAGAAAGCCTGCATGCAGCAACGAAGACCCAACACGGTGAAAGATAAGTAAACAAATAAATATATAAAAAATAAAAATAAAAAATATCAGACTAAAAGGGCTTGAAACTAGGAGCAGGAAGACTCAGGGAATTATTGTAGTAGTCCTGGCAAAGAGTGAATAATGACCTGAACAGATAGCAGCAGCAGGGAGAAAAAGGAAAGAATAGCTGCAGACACCTTGGAAGCAGGATGGGTAGAAACTGGCGACTAACTGGACCAAGACTGAGCAAGTAGGATTGTCAACTATACTCACCATTTCAGGTCAGAATGTCTAGAAGGGCATGTTCATTTACAGAATAAAGAACTTAGGAGGATGGGCAGGTTTGAGTAGTTACCTGTGGGGACATGTAGGGGTGGGAAATGGATATATTTAATAGGCAGCTGGGAACAGGTCCAGGGAGAGACTGGAAGTAGAGGAATACACCTGGAAGTCAGTGCAGTGATGACTTCCTCAACTGCATGGCAATTTCAGGGAGTGTATTAACAGAGAAATTAGAACTCATGGGTTAACACTGGTAATTTAAATAGCTTAATGGATTAATATACCTGAAAATCAATGCTGGGCTCTTGGCTTTGGAACCAGACATATCATGATTTAGTTTTGCAGAACTTAGAGTCTTTCTCTCTGGGGTCTTTAGGCTGAGTTTACTTGCAGGAGTGGTAGGATTGCTCTTCAATGTTGACAGAAAGCTTCTACTTTTACCATGATGTTTAACTGTTCTGTTGCATGTTTTACAAGTAATCACCTGCCATAAAAAGAAGAAATAGTGGGTCTGATTTCTCTTATAATTTAATCCAATAAACTGCATGCTCATTAAATTCATATACATAAGGGACTAAACCAGGTACTACAGGGTGAGTAACAAAGGCTGCCCTCAGCAAGCTTGTAAACTAGCAGCAGGAATCAGACAAGACACAAACTTAAAAGAAAATCTTCAATAAAAAGTTAATGGCTAAACATTTGTATATAATTTAAAACACCTTTTTAAAGATGATAAAGTCTTTACTTTCTCAGTGTAAAACCATGTTCGGCAGGGAATGGAGGAGACTGGGAATGATACCCTTTAACATCTGGAAAGTTGTTCTTTATAACAATAGTAGACATTTAGCATTTTTTTGCAGACAAACTCCAAGCCTTTTCCCAATACAACATGGCAAAATATCACTGAAAATTTAATTGACTCCTTCAAACCTTTATTCTGTAAATACAGGTCTAAAGCAATTTATAAAACCAATCAAATGAATCCTCACATTCTCATACTTCTTCACTTCATTAGCGATAGAGGTTGACTTTCTTTTCAGGATTCATTTTTCAACACATGGTTCATTTTATAGCTAAGTGCCTTTCTTCTACATATCTGACTCACAAGGCACAGGATTCAGCCCAGGCCTCAACAAAATTAACAGAAACTAGTTTAGCTGAGAAGTACTCTGATGTTCATGAGCAGGTAAAAATGCATTTATAGAGGTCTATTTAGGTTACTTTATGCTTTCTATAAACAATCAATTTTATGACATAGCAAAATTCATTTACCTGTCCAATTATGGTAAACTCCTAAATATGGCAGTTCCAATCTAAGTTATTACCAACTGTAGTCTTGGGCCAGACATAATCTGTCATAATGTCCAGAATGCCCAGCACAGTGCCTGGTAGTAAGCAAGCACTCGAATAGTTGATGAATGTTAACACAAAACATGCAGATAAAGTGTATCTGATACTGGTCTCTATACAGTAAACCAGAGTAATTTGCTTTTGGTTGTTTTATTGCACTTAACATCCCCAATACACAGCATTGTCTGGCATAAGATAGATCCTCAATAAATGTTTGATGAATGAACATAAGATGCACTTACCTTTGTTGGGCATAAACTTAAATACATACTCTGACATGGAGCGGAGGTGACTGAAGAAGTAACACTGGTACCTAATACATAAGTCAAGAGCTTTATGTATACCTAATACATACTGTTGTTCGAAGAAAGGAACCATTAGCTGAAAAAATAATTTAGTGGTAACTGCAGTTCAGGTGAAGTCACACTGGTGAGCTCAAGAAATTCTCAACTTTGTGAAAATAATTGTGCTCAGCAATAAGATCTGGGCAATTGAGAGTTCACGATGTTTGGTTTTAGGTAATTGTGAAAAACAAAAATAAGCTGTACTCTTTTTTTTTTTTTTTTTTTGCAGTACGCGGACCTCTCATGTTGTGGCCTCTCCCGTTGCGGAGCACAGGCTCCAGACGCGCAGGCTCAGCGGCCATGGCTCACGGGCCCAGCCGCTCCGCGGCACGCGGGATCCTCCCGGACCGGGGCACGAACCCGGGTCCCCTGCATCGGCAGGCGGACTCCCAACCACTGCGCCACCAGGGAAGCCCATAAGCTGTACTCTTGATGAAACAGTAATCACTAGAAAGAAATCCTATGTATATATTTTGACAATCTAAATATACTACTACAAACCTCTGAGTTATATTCAGGCTAATTCTTAACCTCATCTTAAGTGAAAGAAAAGAAAATTCTGGTTTACTTATACATACTGGAATTGAAATCTTACCAATACACTTGTGGAGTCTTTGTACTTTTTCAAAATTTTTGCTTCTTTAAAACTGAGTGTATAATTTCTTGCTTCTCGATTAAGAAGTTTCTGTATTTTGGGTGTCAATTTGGGTTTGGGTTTGAGACGTACTCGAGACTTATCCTGAACCAGCAACTGGAAACAGTATGGACATGTTCCTTCAAAAGTGCTTTTATCATCTAAAATTATACAAATGAAACTCACGAGTCAGCAAACAGAATATTTTGATACTGTAAACTATCAATATGATAAATGCAAAAGAGTATATTATTTAATACAAGCAAATATACATTTTCCTTAAGCACACTCAAAATATGAGAATTTACAAAAGCATAAATCAGCAATAATTTATTTTATAAAACACTATAATTCTATCCATTCACTCCTTTTAGCAACAGATAGGTAAGTCCCCACCCTTTGCTACATTGTTCATTACTTGCTACCAAGTAAAAAAGGCTGTATTTCTCATCAATTTTACAAACACATTTATCACAAAATAACAAATTATATTGTGACTTTTCTTTTTAAAACAATTAGCACAATTCTGTGGTTGTGAGCTGGGCTTTGTCTGCAGTACAAGGTAACAGGACAACAGACTTGCCCCAGGACCTTTATGCAGTCAAGAAAGCATTCACTGACCATCTACCATGCTAGGCTGTGGAGACATAAACATGGAAGTAAAGGAGTTGCTACCTTTACAGAACTCACGCTCTTGGGGAGCCCTAAACAAATAAAGATAAGATTGGTAAAAACTGCAACACAATATGATTAAAACGCCCTGAAAATTATTAAACTCTGCATAGACTAGCCAGAAACACTTCCAACAGGCTTGGAAAAAGTCATCACAGGTGACTGTAAACTCTTATCTGTATTTGGAAATGGCATCTATTATTGGTAACGGGCTTTCAGGTACAAGTACAGTGAAAAAGCAAGCATGGTTATTTCGGGAAAGGTGAGGTGTGAAGGTGATGCTGCTGAAGAGGAAGGTGGGCACACTATCTGTTATTCAATAAATATTTATTGGTGAGCCCTGTGTTAACTGCTAGGGATAGACAGCACTACAAAAAGCCAAAGACCATGTTCGTAACTTAGCTCTGCCAAATGTAAAATTCATTCATATTTACTGAGTGACAGTTAAGTGCCAAGCACTGTTCTGGGTGTGGGAAATACCACAGAGAACAAAGGACAATTCATGCAGAGAGACAATGAATACAACAATGCCAAATGTTAAGTGCTGGGGAGAAAAAAGAAATACAGGAAAAGGAGAATGGGGCATAGCGATGGAGCTGCTATAATCTTAAATAGGGCAGCCAGTGAAGGCTTTGTGGGGTGACATTTGCAAGAGACCAGAAGGAAGTGAAGGAAGAATCCAAGGAGATATGTGAGGTAAGATTTCCAGGTAGAAGGAAGGGCAGGTGCAAAGGCTGTGAAACAGCACAGGGGCCTGGCAGTGGTTGGAGTTCAGTGAACAAAAGGGAGAGCAGGTCGGAGAGGTAATGCAGACCTATGACATAGGGCCATGAAGTCCCTTTAAAAGATTTTCACTTTTACTCTGAGATGGGCAGTTATTTCAGAGTTGGTAGCACAGAAGTGACATGATCTAGCTTAGGTTTCTATTAGGCTCACGTTGGCTGCTGGATTAAGAATGGACTGTAGAAATGCATGGGAGCTATTGCCAATAATCCAGGAGAGAAACTGATGGCTTGGACCACGGTGGTAAGTTGGATGTGGAGAGAAGTGGCTAGATATTGGATATATTTTAAAGCCAGTGGGATTTCTGGCATACTGGCTTGGGGAGGAAGGCTGTTAGTGAGTCAAGAGTGGCTCCTAGGTTTGGGGGCTAATTCTTAAGGATGGGGTTACCATTTACTGAAATGGGAATAATTGGAGGAGGCGGGTTGTCGTGTTGGGGGATAAAGCTTGAATTTTCGCCTAGCATAATATTCAAAAAAAGTTGTCAACGTATCTGAATGAGTCTAGGATTCGCGGGAGTGGTCTGGACTGGGGATATAAATTTGTAAGTCCTCAGTATGCAGAATTTAAAGGCCATGAGAGTGGATGAAAAACTGTCACCAAGGAATTGAGTGTAGCTAGAAAAAACGTCCAAGGGATGAGTCCTGGGACACTCCAACATTTGTAAGTTGGGGAAATTAGAAGAAACCAGCAAAACAGAAGTACTGGCTAAAGAGGTAGGAGGTGAACTTTGTGATGGTCCGGAAGCCAAGTGAGGAAACTATTTCGAGTAGACTGATCAATGCGTCAAATGCCGCTAATAGGTCAGGCAAGATAAGGCACGTTAAGGAATTTGGATTTTTTTACGAAACTGAGAAGCCTCTCGAGGGGGTTTATTATGGCAGTGGGTCGATCTGATTCTTTTGGATCATCCTGAGCGTTGTGGGGAATGAAGGCGAGCGGGGCGACGACAGCCTGACCCACAACCAACGGGCGTCCTCCCTACCGTGTGACGAACTGTAGGCCCAGCTGCAAAAGAGAAAGAGACTCATAAGGGACAAGGAAACACCCCCTAGCGGCTAGCCTCCCGCTCCCCCTCCCTCCCTCTCTTACAGGAGATAGCGGGCCTGGCCCGGGCAGCTATCTTGTAGTTTCCGCGCCGCAGTCTCAAGGTAGTGCTTCTGCCTCATAGCCACCGCCACCTCTGCACCGCTGAGACCCGGTCACAAAAAGAGACTCCGGAAACCGGATTCCCAACGTGGCGGACTTTGACGTCGGGATAAGAGCTCCCTCCGGAAACAGGTGCCTTAGGCTGAAGGGTTCCGGTGCCTTCGCGTCCGGTCCGGCGCGCAGGCGACCCTCCCCCTGCCGTTGGCCCCGCCCCCCGGGTCCTACCCCGTCCCCGCGGGCGAGGTGGCGATCACCTCAGACGATAGTCTGGGTGGAGCAGCTTGACTGGGCAGGGGTGGCAGCGTCAGGAGCCGAGGGTGCCGCCCGCCTCTCCGTCTTTGTCTGGTAGCCTCCTTTACCATACCCCTGGTTGTCATTTCATCAGCCCCCGTCGCCCTCTAAATTTGCGGGCTGGGGTACTGACTTGGGCCGCGGCGGGCGGAAGCGCGGTCCGCGGGGGGCAGCTGGGAGAAGCGAGGCCTCGAGCTTCCTTCCTAACTTCCGTCAACTGAAATTCAGATGACATAACGTTAACCAATTTTAGGTGAACAACTCAGCGATGTTTAGTACAATGGCAGTGTTGTGCAAACACCACTGTTACTAGTTTGGAAACATTTCTGTCAGCCTACCGGTACCCCATTAGCAGTTACTCCCCATTCTTCCCTCCCTCCCAGCCCCTGGCGACCACTAGTCTGCTTTTTGTCTCTATGGATTTACCTATTCTGGACATATCATATAAATGGAATCGTACGTGGAATCTCTGGTGTGAGGCTTCTTCCATTTAGTATAATGTTTTTGAGGTTCATCCACTTTGCAGCCTATATCAGAACTTCATATCTTTTTATGGCCGAGTAATATTACGTTGTATGTATGTACCATGTATTGTTTATCCATTCATCCATTGATAGACATGTGAGTTGTTTCTACCTTTTGGCTATTGTGAATAATGCTGCTATGAACTTGAACATGTATTTGCTACTGTATCTGTTTTCTATTCTTTTGGATTTATACCTAGCAGTGAAATTGCTGGGTTATACTGTAATTCCATTTTTAACAAGGATTCCAGTTTCTCCACATCCTCACCAACACTCATTTTCTGGTTTTTTAATTCTAACCATCCTAGTAGTGTGAAGTAGCATCTCTTTGTGGTTTTGATTTGCATTTGTCTAATGGCTAATGATGTTAAGCATCTTTTCATGTGTTGTTGGCAATTTGTATATCTTTGAAGAAATGTCTGTTCCACTTCTTTGCCCATGTTTAAATTGGATTATTTGCCTTTTGTTGTTGAGTTGTTAGAGTTTTTAAAAATATATTCTGAAAAAAAAAGGAAAAAAAATATATTCTGGATACTAAACCCTTATTTATCCTTCATTTTTAAGTTCAGGAAGGAGTCAAATGATGCAAAAGTTTGTAAAGAGAAACTATATATTTACTCCTATATAGACATATTTTAATTTTTCAGAAGAGAAGTTATTACGTCTGCTCTTCCCACCTTTCCATCCTGCTTCTGTGAGGTGATCAACATTAGCAGTTGGGTCTCTTCTCCTTCTATGACCTTACACATGTAAGCACTTGTATGAATGTATAAATATCCCCAATCGCCATCACCACACAAACAACAACAACAAAAAACCAAGACATACACAAAAACCAAAAACCAAAAATAGAATGTTAGTCCTTTACGATATAACTTGCCTTTTTCCTTAACAACAGGCCACAAACATCTCTCCAGTATACACAGTTCTCACATGTACTTTTTAATAGCTGACAATATTACAAAATGTAATGAACCATAATTTATTTTCCTATTGATGAACATTCAATTTTTTTTCAGTTCTTTGCTAGTTCAACTAGTATACCAGCAAATATCTTGTATATGCTAATGCTTTTTATTTCTTTTGTCTGAATTCCTAAAAGAGAAATCACTGAGTGGAATGATATCCATATTTTAATTTGCTAGAGCATTCAAAAAAGGTTGTAGCAATTCACACTCCCAGCATCAATATGTGAGAGAACTGGGTCAAACTGGATGAGTGAAAAGGCGAAGGTCATTAGTTCGCTTAAATACCAGTGAGATAAAGCCTCTATTCATTTATTTCTTGATGGTTTGCATTTTCTTTTGTGAAAAGAAATCGTCACTGGGTTGTTTATCAATTTCTAGGAATCTTTGTATTTTGGTGAAATTCATCCTCTGCTTGTCATTTATGACGCAATGTTTCCTCACTTAACTCTTATCCTTGGCAAGGTTTATAGCATTTTTGCCACACAAGATTTTGTATGTGGTCAAAATCTGCACGATTGGGTCTGGGTTTTCTGTATAGTGTTAAAGGGCCTCATTTATGCTGAAGCTAGACAACTGACTATTCATCCAAATGTTTTTCTCATGCTTTTCTAGTTTGGTTTCTTCCATATACATCTCTTTTTTTAAAATAAATTTATTTATTTTATTTATTTATTTTTGGCTGCGCTGGGTCTTCGTTACTGCGTGTGGGCTTTCTCTAGTTGCGGCGATCAGGGGCTACTCTTCGTTGCAGTGCACGGTCTTCTCAGTGTGGTGGCTTCTCTTGTTGCCGAGCACGGGTTCTAGGTGCACGGACCTCAGTAGTTGTGGCACGTGGGCTCAGTAGTTGTGGCTCATGGCCTCTAGAGCGCAGGCTCAGTAGTCGTGGGGCTTAGTTGCTCCATGACATGTGGTATCCTCCTGGACCAGGGCTTGAACCCATGTACCCTGCATTGGCAGATGGATTCTCAACCACTGCGCCACCAGGGAAGTCTCTCTTCCATGTACATCTTTAAACCGTATGAAATGTATTTTCACTTAAGTATGAGGTAGAACATATAACTGGAATTTTTTCCAGATGCACAGCAAGTTATGCAAAGATCCCTTACTAGCTAAACTAGTCTTTTTCTACTGGAATTGAAGTTTAAAAAAATATGCACTGAACACTGCATATGTGCCAGGCACTTTTTAAAGTGTCTTGTATTAATTCACGTCATCCTCACAACCCCGTGGCATAGGTGAAATGTCAGCTTATCTATATAAGTTTTTTTAAAATAAAGTTGCATCTGCTTCTAGATTTTTTTTGTTTCACTAGCCGGTAAAGCAGAAGAGGAGAAACGCACTGTATATGCATGTGTACGTACTCCCCTGGCCCCCAGCACACTTTCCTTCAGCTGTTTCCTTCCATCTGCTCTGAACACCTCTCTCCTATAACCAGATGCCTCGTCAGCACCACTACTTGCATCACAACTTATTTTCTCAGACGCCGTGGGGCCAGATAGCACCCTTGACTTCCCCCACCAAAGAGCCATTGCTGCTGCTGCTTCCCACCCCTTGTAGCCACTCCACCCACAAGCTCTGCGGGCTCCCAATCAGAGGCAGATCACGACTCTGCTCACTTCTCCTCACACCTTGGCCATCCTCTCTTCTTTTGCCTGCATCCCTACCTTGGCTCCTACATTCTTTTCCTGCTTCCTTTCTCCCAGTCCATTCTTCACAGGGCAGACAAAGTGACATTCTTAAAATGTAAATCATTTGGGGGGACATGGAGTGTCCTCTGCAAGCTCCTCGTTGCACTTGGAACACAAGCTCCTTGCCCTGCTCTCCAGGGCCCCATGTGGCTGGTCACTGCCCCACCGCAGACCTCACCTTGTCTCACCTACCTATACTCATACTGCTCCTGTCTTGCCAGCCTTCTCTCTGTCACTCAACATATCCTGCTCAGACCCACCCCAGGGCCTTGGCTTTGAATGAGGATCCTTTCCATGGCTACTTTTCCTCCTCATTCATCTTGGCTCAAATATCAGAGAGGCGTTCCTTGACCACCCAATAAAGAACTGCTCCTGGCCCACCCACCAAGTCACTCTCTGCCATAACTAGTTTTTATTGTCATAGTAACCTCACTATCTGAAATTGCCTTATTCATTCATGGTTTGCCTGTTCTCCTCCTGTTATCCTCCTGAATGCCTTGGCAGCAGGACTTGGTCTGTCCTTTTTGTTGCTCTTTACGTGGACCCCAGCCCAGGGCCTGGCAACAGAGCAGGGGCTCAATAAGGAGCTGCAAAATCATACTGGAAGGAGAGGAAGTTGAAGGGGTTGAAAATAAAACTAGATTGGCCATGAGTTGACAGTTGTTGGCAGTGAGTTTGTTATGTTTATTTATTTATTTTAAACTTTTTATTATGAAAAATCTCAAACATATACAAAATAATCACCATAATATAATGAACCTTCATATATACCCACACAGCAACTCTCAGCATCCTGGCATTCTTGTTTCATCTCTAACTCTCCCTAATCCCCTTCAATTATAGTAACAATTGTAAACATTTTTAAGGAAAAATGTACCTATGTTGAAATGTACAAATCTTAAATGTACAATTTAAAAAGTGAGTATACTCCTATCGAGATATAGAACATTTCCAACCCCCTGGAAGAGGAACTACACTCTATCAAGATTTTCCTCATCCCGTAAGTCCCTGTAGTGATCTTTCCCAGTCACCTGCCCCTCAAAGAGGCACCACTTTTCTTCTCCTTCTCTTCCTCCTCTTCCTCCTCTTCCCCCTCCTTCTTCTTCTTCTCCTTCTCCTTCTTCTTTCTTCTTCTCCTCCTTCTTCTTTTTCTTCTATCATATATTAGTTCCACCTGTCCAGAATTTCATACAAGTGGAATCATATGATATACACTTTTCACGTAAATTAGTTATGACTTTCTAGAACTTCACATTAATGGATTGAAATAGTATGTACTTCTTTTACTGTTTTTATTGCTGGGTGGCATTCCATTTTATGGTTATACTACATTTTGTTTATTGATTCACCTGTTGAACATTTGGACTGTTTCCAGTTTTTGTCTATTTTAAATAGAGCTGTGATTAACATTGTTACACAAGTCTTTTTGTAACCTATATTTTCACTTTTCTTGAGTAAATAATAGTAGAATTTCTTGGTCAAATGAGCATGTTTAACTTTATAAGAAATGGGCAAATATTTTTCCAAGGTGTTTGGATCATTTTGGATTCTCATCAAGAATGTATGAGAGTTCCAGTTGCTCCACATTTTTGCTAATATTTGGT